GAGATATACCATGGGACAATTAATACTATATCAAACAACTTTCTTTATAAATCATTTGTCCTTGCCTTCCAGTAACTGCTACTGTGGCTCTCCTTTGCATACAGGATGCCAGCTACACAGCCTGGCATAGAAGATGCTTCCAATGGTGGCTCCTGCTCACTTTCCCACCATTCTTCCAATGCTACCGTCAGACCCAACTACAATCCCTTGTCTGGGGCATTGTGCTATTTCATACCTCCCTGCCTTTGTCCCTACCTGGGAAGCCCTCTCCCTCCTGGGAAGTTCCTCTTGAATCTTCCAGAGCTAAGCTGAATGTCCCCTCCTGAGTGAAGTCTTCGCAAATCCCCAATGCAGTGGTTCTCAAGCTTCTGTGTGCCCCAGAGTGCCCAGTAAATTACAGACTGCCACCCCCACCCTCAGAGTCTCTGTCTCAGGTCTGGTGGAATCAAGAATCTGCATTTCCAACAAGTTCCCAGGGGATTCTGACGTCACACTGGGAGCATGGCTGCCCTAGGGGGTAGAAAGTGTACCGTGCCCTTGAGCCCTTGGCCCTTCACTATTCTAGTCACACTCCATTACACACTCCTTCTCAGGACAGAGATTAAGACAGTAACTAGCAGAGGGATATGAAGCCAGTGGATGGATGGATAGATGGACAGACGGATGCATGTATTAGACTGAATTTATTTACACAGCTTTTCCATTGGTACAAGACCTCATCAGTGCTCACACCTACCCCACCTCCCAGAAAACTAACTTGAAATCATCACTTTAGTAGATTCCCACTGTGCGTGGAAGAAGAGTTGCGACATGGTGAGCATGGGTCAAAGAGTTCGGAATTCTGATCCAGTTCTCTCTGCTACGTTGGTCCCCCAGGACTGTTTACCAAAGTGGCATTTCAGAAGTCACAAGAGAATGGTTCTGAGTGGGCCGCCTGGGTCGCTCAGTCGGTTAATAAGCGTCTGACTCTTGATTTCGGCTCAGGTCCTAATCTCAAGATCATGCAATTGAGCCCCACACTGGGCTTTGTGCTCAGTGGGAAGTCTGCTGGAGATTCTCTCCCTCTTCTTGTCCCTCACCTTCTGTCCCTCCCCCTGCCCACTCACGGACTCTCTCTCTCTCTCTAAAATAAATAAATAGGGGCATCTGCATGGCTCAGTCGGTTAAGTGTCTGCCTTAGGCTCAAGTCATGATCCCAGGGTCCTGGGATCAAGCCCCATGGGCTCCCTGATCAGCCGGGAGTCTGCTTCTCCTTCCCTCTGCTCCTCCCCCATTCATGCTTGCTTGCTCTCTCTCTCAAATAAATAAAATCTTTTACAAATAAATAAATCGTTAGCAAAAGAGAGAGAGAGAGAGAGAGAGAGAGAAAATGCTTCTGAGTGGCACCACACGGAGTCCTAACCTGCTCCAGTCCCCCCCCATACACATGTAGTCTACGTGTGTGTACCGGTACACACACACACACACACACACACACACACACACACACACAGTGATTTCATTTGTACAACACAAACACAGGTGCTCAGAGAAATGCAAGAAGGAAGAAGAATCTGGCCTCACACAGGGAGGGAGGGGAAGGGTGAGGGCTTAGGTAGGGAAGACCCCATCAGAAAAGTACTATCCCCCAAGGTGAAGGTCGGAGCTCCAAGCATCCCAGCACTGCCTAGAGTGGAGGCAGAGAGTCAAGGGCATGAAGGTAAGGGGACAAACCTACAGAAGGGACAAGAAGGGTGTCCTCAGGAGAAAATGAGCAGCGAGGAGAGGAACAAAGGCGAGAGAACATGGGCGGGAGGGGCCGTGGATTGCTGAGCCGGTGGCCTGGGGCGGCCTGGGGCTGGGCAGGGAGGGAGGTCAGTGCTGGCTCCCGCAGTCCGCTCTGCCCGAAAGCAGCAGCAGGCACATGCTTGAGCCTCAGCTTGGCTGGAGGCACAGTCGGGGGTGCGGCAAGGGGCGACAGGCAGACCAAAGTCAAAAGGTCTCTCCTGCTGCAGGTGGTGCGAGCACAGATGCCCGAGCCGAGGAAAACTCCTGAGTCGGTAGGGCTGCTTCTCCTGGAGGCCTGCGTGTGCTCACGAGCAGCTGGGCCACCCTACGGCTCTGCTAAAGAGGGAGAAGTCAGCATTCCCACTTTGTTGGCGTCCAGAACTTTTCCTGGGGGAAACTGCAGATCAGCCTCTTGGATGAAGCTCTCCTGCCTCCCTCCCCCAGCCCAGAAGCCTTGCCAAGGAAGGATCACAAAGCTGGGACCTTCGAGGCTGCAGAGCTGTCACGTTCAATTCACCACACAGCCCCAGTGGCATTTAGGGGCAGATGGATGGGAGCCCACCCCCACCCCAAACAGTGGGAGCAGCTAATGACTGGGTATTAATGATGTCGGCAATTAGCGCTCACAAGAAAATGGGTGGGGGGCCGCTCACCAGGGGAATGTGGGAGGGAACGGAGCAGACATTCGGAGCAGCAGACAGATTGGTGGCATGCACGGTGCCGAGAACCTGGGAAGAGCTTCTGTCTCTTAGATTTGTTCAGAGAAATTGGGCAAGAGGGAAGGAATGGCTTCTGTGGACCCAGGGGCCTTCCTGCCACACCCTCCTTGCTAGCAAAATTGGAGTTAATCACAGAGTTCTCAGAGGCATTGGGAGCAGATGTTGTTAAAAAGATGTTTGTGAAGGTTCTAGAACTTTCCTCATGTAAGGAGGCCCCAGATGAACCCAGGGACAGCTATTGCTTTTTATGCAGCCTAAAACCCTGGGGTAGTCCGATGAGGCTTTTTGAAGAATTCCGTTTGTCACCAGCAGGTGAGAGGGGAAGGAGAGAGGACTCGCAGCCAGATTCGGGGACGCATCTCCATCCAGGAGGAAGAGAGACACCATTTCCTGACTAAGCAAGGCCATCTGGCCTCACGGTGAAGACATGAGGGGACAGAAGCCGCTGAATCATGAGTGTACCCAAGGAGATCCTGGTAGACGGAGGGAAACGGGCCAGCGCACATCCCAGAAGTCAAGAGCCAGCGGGTGTGGGTGCAGGTGTGGGGGAGCCCGCGGGGATGTCTGAGGAAGAGATTTCCTTGATCCGCTTCGGGCCCGCAGCGTACCTGGGGGACCACGAGGAACCTTCCTCTGCCGTGGCCATCACGGTGCACACACACAAAAGAGACACAGACAAAAGAGAAGCATTCCAGACCCTACTGCATGAGTAAAGCACAACACAGGGACCAAATGGCTTGACATTTGAGAAGAGATGTAAAGAAGATAAGCCAGCACTGGGGGGACGGGGAAATAATACCGAGTTAACAAATACTTCAGAGAGAGCAACCGTGGCTAATAAATACTTTCCAGATAGCAACCCAAATCAAAAGAGATCATTCTCGGCCTCCTTTGCCAGAAGAGACAATAGGTACGCCTAGGCCACTTAGATTAGAGAAGGGATAAGAGGAGAAACAGAGGGACACAAATGCTAGCTGCCCCGTACATTTTCCTTTCTGAAAGGCTCAACCACGGGAACCTCTCCCCAGGGAGGAGAGAGAGAGAGCAAGAGAGAGAGAGAGTTCAGCACGACTCAGAAGCTGGCACAGGGAGGTGGGCCAGCTCTGTCAGACGCCCCTGTCCTGCTTCCCAGGTTCTGTCCAGATGATAAGAGCAGGCAAGGAAATAAGGGTCTGTCACATGAAAGGCTTGAACCCTGTGAGTGAGTAGGAATTAAAGAAGGTATGTGGGCTGAACTGGGTCCCCCCAAAAATGTGTATGTTGAAGCCCCAACCCCAGGCCTCATGAAGTGACTCTTCTGGGATAGGGCCTTTAAAGAGGTGATTAGGTTATGGTGGGTAACCTTCTAAGTCACTGGTATCCTTCAAAAAGGAGACCTGGGCACACAGAGAGACAGCAGGGGTGCATGATCACAGACGGACCACCATGAGAAGAGGCAGAGAGAGGGCAGACGCCTACAACTCCGTGACAGAGGCCTCTGAGGGACTGCCCCCAATGACACACTGGTCTGGGACTTGCAGCCTCCAGAAGAACAAGAAAAGAATCTCTGCTCTTTAAGCCGCCCAGTCTGTGGTATTTTGTTATGGCAGCCTGAGAACACTAATTCAGAAGGCAACATCACAAGGAGAAAGGAGGGTGGGGTTAGGCAACACTGACACTAATCCCAAGAAAGGTTTTGGCCAGAGTATGCTAATTATTTCAAATATCCGATGAGTAGCCGACGGACATCCGTTGACTCAGCTGATGGACTAAAATGTGCAGAAGCCACCCCCAGATCCTAGAGTCTGATCCTTTTCATTGCATCACTCCGTTCGCCTGAAGAATACCTACCACAAAATCTTGTGAACAAAATAAAAAAATAGACGGCATGTCCACAATTATTCTTCACCTAATGATCTTAGAATGACCCACACCTCGAAACAAGCTCTTAAGACTCCATCATGCCACCCCATTTTGAGATTTTGACAAGTGCACTCACCACGCTTGCTGAGGGAATGTTCAAGTGAAAAGCATGGAGGCTCAAGGGCAGTATTTCGAAGGCAGGAGAGCTCTGAACCAAAACTGTGACCCCCTATAACAGCCAAGGCAACAGATCCAGAATATTCTACATCTCTTGGTGGCCAAGGCAACATTTGAAATGTCCATTTGAATTGACATGCCGAAGGGCTATGCCCAAGTCAGGTCAACCCCTGTGAATGGAACTTCTGGAGCTGAGGGAAGGAGAGAAACAGATCTGGCATTGGACAACAGCCAGATAACTGGCTTCCCCTCTGCTTAACTCTCACCTCCCTTCCTCTGGGAACAGAACTGGGGTCGGCACCTGGCCCAGCTCACTCTAAGCCTGGGGCTCAGAGGACCCATGGGGAAGCTGGGGTTACATAAAAAAAGCCAAGTTGCCACAGGACATTGAAACCAACCCACGGGGGCCACCAAAGATGCCAGAGGTGAAAAGAACACTGTCTCGCCCTGCCCACCCACATCATCACTGCCCCAACCCAACGACTGGAAACTCACGTCTGTGGTTCTCATTTCTGTGGTTAGGCGGGGACCGGGTCTCCTGGTCCTGAGCTTCATCCCCCTCCTCGCTGGCCAGGTGAGTGTGAGCGTAGTGGTAGCTAAGTCCGGGCCGGTTCTTGTAGCGCTTGCCACAGACTAGACAGGAAAAGAGAAGAGGGAAAAAGCAAAGATGAGCAACCTCTGTAGTCACTGCCCGCATTCTCCCAGGCAGTGACTCCCATCCGTCTGCCCCAGAGCTGCGTTTCCCTTGTGGGGAAGTGTCTCCCACTCTTGGACAGAGCCAACACTCCAGTCACAGCACGGGCCCTGGATAAGAAAAACCAGAAAGGTAAAGGATGGAAGTTGAATTGTGTAAGAGCGCCTTTCCTATCCCTGGGCAAGTCACTTACCCTCTCTGAGCCTCGGTTTCTGCAGAGGGAAAATGGGAATAAAGATAGTATTTAACTCATAGTGTTGCTGGGTTGAGTTCATCTCTATGCAGAACACTTGTAACAGTGTGGGGCACGTGGTAAGGGTGATGATGATTACAACTTTGAGGGCAAAAAGCACTGGCAGTCCATCCAGTCCAACATCCCATGGCACAGGTGAGCCAAGTGAGGCCCAGCAAGCCTAAGCGCTTTGCCTGGGAACACACAGCTAACTGAAGCAGAGTCACTAGAACTCAGGTGTCCCGGATCCCCATGCAGTGCTCCTTCCCCACCACATGGTGGTTAACTCTGTATAAAGTACAAAAGCTGATACAGATAATATTTTTGATGTATCACATGGTGATCTGTACTAGAAAAACACATCCCTCTTCTGCCATGAAAACCATGAAGCCAAGCCATCACTGGTAGATGTGGCAACCAAAAGCTTGTGCCCTTGGTGCCCCAGGAAGCCTCTGGTACCCAAAAATCTAGGAATGTGTCCTCACGAGCACGACCTCTCACGCGGCCAGTATGAGACAAGGACACCCGGCCACATAAATACGGCTTTGTTGGGGCATAGAAGAAGAAAGGGGCAGTTCCATTGGTTGGCTGCCCAATACCTCAGAAGCAGAAGCCCAGCTAAATGGCTGAAGACCATACCACCCCCACTGCCAGTGAAGTTGGATTTAGTGGTTCACTGTTTAGAATGATACGTGCGGCTAATTTTCAGTCTTTACCAAATTTAAGTATTTCCTCTTATCCCTGTGTTAAGAGTTTTATTACAGGAAAGTCTGATCAGCCTTTCAGCATCTACTAGTGTATGACTCTCCTTCAGTTTGTTGGTACGGTGAATTATGTTGATTTCCTAATGTTTCTTCTCCTTGGGCCATTCCTATATTCCTAGAATGCTCTCTGTTGGGCGAAAGTACATTATCCACTTCATAAACTGCTGCATTCTGTTTTCTAATCTTGCGTTTTGGATCTATACTCAGATCTGAGATGAAGCTAGAATTTTTGATCTATCTTCTACCATGTTTCAATTTTATGGTTATATCGACTTCCAAAAATGAATTGAGGCAAATTGCTGTGTGAAACTGGACAAGTTACGTAGCCTCTCTGTGCCTTTTTTCGTATCTGGAAATGATGATAGTACTACTTACCTTGAAGGGTTGTAGATAATATTTGTATCTCACTCAGTACCCTGCACATAACAGATGCTGATAAATGTTGAGGAGGGGCGAGGGGCCAGGGCGAAGGGCTTCAGCTTAGCCTGAAGTGCCAAGTGCTAAGTGTTGGGCCCTCCTGAAAGAGGGACTTTGACCCTGGCCTCAAACAGTGGAATTTAGCAATTGGTTGGACTTTCTTAATAAGGTCTGAAATTCAAGTTGGTGACCCAGTGGCTTTAAGTTCAAGTCCTACAATTGGTTACTTACATTCTCTTTCTCTTTCTCTCTCTCTCTCTCTCTCTATTGTAAATATATCAAAAAAATAAAACGGCACTCCACATCTCAATTCCATTTGACTGGGGAAATGGGACCTAAAGAGGCCCCCAAGGCACACTCTGGGCCTGCTTGTGGCTTCTTCTATTTAACCTCTGCAACGATCTGAGGTCAATAAACAGCAAATCGTGGGGTCATCGGCTATAAATCCACTTTGTAACCAAGTGTAAATGTTTATTAAGAATCAGGACCGTCATCAGGGCGCCTAGGTGACTCAGTGGATTGAGCCTCTGCCTTCAGCTCAGGTCATGATCTCAGGGTCCTGGCATCGAGCCCCGGATTGGGCTCTCTGCTCTGCAGGGAGCCTGGTTCTCCCTCTCTCTCTCTCTGCCTGCCTCTCTGACTACTTGTGATCTCTCTGTCAAATAAATAAATAAAATCTCAAAAAAAAAAGAAAAAAGAAAAAAGAAATGGCTGAGAATTGCTTTTAAAAAAAGAATCAGGACAGTCATCTCAGTATTTCCATAAGGACGCCTCCGCTGACTCCGGAAACCAGTCTGCAGACCTCCCTACTACCAACTCCACAGCATTCCATTTGTGCCATTCTGTCATGTTAATTGCCACCATCTTCCTTAATCACAGAATTCCAGGGTCTTAAAAGTCATGTGGTCTCACTCATCAGATTGTTTTATTCCCACTAATGCTCGATGCCTGGGACAATTCCACAGATCAGGGAATCACAACCCACCCAAACAGGCGTTTCTTCTTTGATGTCCTTGAATCCTAGTTACATCTGTACCAGAGGACTTCTCTTAAGGACAGTTTCATGCCAGTTTCGGCTTAATAACAACTCCACTTCTTGTGTTGCCATGCACAGATCACGGCCTCAGAACGCATCCATTGACCAACTGATGAATGAACACGGAAATACTTTGTGGGAAAGCCAGGAGATGGCGGGGGGGAGGGAAGCGTGTAGAATCTGATCCATCTATCCACATTAATCTCATAGTAATAGGTCTTTAAACCTACAAAACCAAACCCAAGCAAAAAGCTTCCCACATCTCCTCCCCCAGCACCATAGAGAGTAATTATTTTTAAAGCAAATCCTTTTGCTAGAAAAGAGATTCCCGAAGAGTGGTCCCCAGACCAGCACCATCAGCGTCACCTGCGAAGAGCTTAGAGATGCATGTTCTTAGGCTCCCGCTCACATCTATCGAATAAGAAGCTCCAGGGATGGGGCCAGAAATCTCTGTTTTAACAAGCCCTCCAGGTGATTCCCCTGCACGCCACAGTCTAAGAACCATTCTGCTAGAAGAATGAATAGATTTGGGCTTGACCCTGCTCACCCTGGTGCACTGCCCTTTGGGATGGTGGAAGTGGCCGGTGGGGACAGTGACCCCAAAATAAAGTTCAGTCATTAGAGGAAACAGAAGCAGACAGTACAAGGAGGTCATGGAAACCAGACCTCTTACCCATCATCCCCCTACACAGAACTACAGAGCTCTCCTGATGGAGCTGCCTTTTTTCACCACCTGTTTATACCATCTTATTCCTTCATCATCAGGTCTTCAAGAAAACATGGATTTAACACCTCATATGTGCCCAGCCCCATGGCATCAGCAGACAAAGATAAAGGAACCCTAGTGCCCTCCCTCCAGGAGCTCTCATTCTGTCAGAGAAGATGTACAAGTCAACAAGCAAACAGGGAGATGGACAAACACACCAGTGTGCACAGGCACCCAAGAAAGAGGAGGGGCCAGCACACCCATCTGAGTGTGGAGGGAGGGCTTCCTGGAGGAGGTGAGTAAGCTGCGGCTTGCAAGGTAGCAGAACATTACCAGACAAAGGAGGCAAAGGTATTCAGGCAGCAAAGCACATTCCACCCAACTCTGGGGCACTGCGGGCAGGGTTGAAGCGTAAAGGAGCGAACGAGCAAGGAAGCCGGGCAAGACTTTGTCCTGAAAATGGGGAGCCAGGGAAGGATTGTAGCCTGAGGACCGACTTACTCAGATTTACACTTTAGAAATCCTATTTAAGACTATAGTGCAGAAGACGGATTTGAAGGTGGCAAGAGGCTATTTTAATTTTTTATGTGTGAACAATGAGGATTTCAGGATGGGAGAGGGGTTAAAGAGAAGGAGTCTGGTGGCAAGGGGTGGGTATAAGCAGCGGGGAGGAACCGAGAATGACAGTAACTTGGTCTTCCTGGCCATGCCCCATCCAGCCCCTGCCTAGCTCCCCAGCCTCGCCCAACACCACATTCCACCACCTTCTCTGCCCTTCTGCCCCATTGCCTTTCCACTCCATACACATCTTTTTTTCTACCACAGAGCCTTTGCACAAGCTCTTCCCGTGGCCCACAATGGTCCCCAGCCCCAGTATGCCTAATTAACACTTCATCATTCTTCAGATGTCAGTTTGTCCTTCTCCAGATAAGTCTCTCCAATCAAAATTAGGACCCCAGTTTGTTACCTTCCTAGAACAAATCATGGATCACTATGTGTGCCCCCCCCACCGGCAGCAAGCATGGCAGCCCCTGTGTCTTTGCACACTGCTGCATCCCCAGTGACCAGCATGGGGAAGAGCACAGCCAGCACGCGAGGTCAGTTAAGGGAAACAACAAAAACACTACAGAGCAATAGGCCGAAGGATGAGGAGGAAAACCAGATTTAAAGAAGGAAGAGAATGAGTTCAGTCTGGGGTTGCCCTGCACACCCTGAGCTTAGGAAAGAGACGCGGATGTGGGAGGTTGGAAGGGCGGCAGGGGGAGTTAGATGATGGAGAGAGAGAAAAAACGTGGACAGAGGACAGAACTCAGAAAACACCAGTATCTTAAGAATGGAGATCAAGAGTATACTTAACACGATAAGCACTGCATCAAATATATAGAATCGTTGAATCACTACATTGTACACCTGAAACTAATATTAAAGGTAGCAAATTATACTGGGATGTAAATTATACTGGAATTTTTCAAAAAAAAAATTTTAAAAAGAGGTAGGATTTCCAGATGACAGGACCAAGGATACAAACCGTCACGGCCACGGCGAACAGCTATGGACTGTGTACCAAGTGTGAAACCTGTTCTCTTGCTTCCAGTCAATTTGCTCCCAGCAACCCAAGTCCCCATTTTACAGAAGAGAAGCCGGCAGAACCAGGAGAATGCCAGATGCCTGAGAAGGGTCAAGAAAGACAGAGACTAGAAAGAGATCAGTGGATGTTACAGGAGGCCACCTTCATGAGAAGGGAATCCATGACCTCAAGGAGGACAAGATAAGACTTCAGAGGC